GCCACAAACCCGCGTCTAGATTGGCACGGACGCTTTTCCACAAAAAGTGCTTTCGCGCAAAAGCATCCGTGCCAATCTAGATGCTCTTTTCCGCAAATGCTTTTAACGGAAAAGTTTTTCCGTTAAAAGCATTTGCGGAAAATCACACTAGCCTAGACGTAGCCATACAGAAAATAAAACCTAAGAGTTTAATCACATTGCATATTGCTGTAATAGAAGCTGAGGGTGGTTAATATGAGAGAAAGGCTCCTTATACTTCCATTCAGACTCCCAGTTCCTAACACTACCATGCCATCATCTCACACTCACATCCTAGAACACCATCCCCTCCAAGCCCTCACTCAACATTCATCTAGTACCTCCCAAATAAATCTGCTTGCAAGTTCCTACCGTGACCCCAAACCCACAATTTTGCATCTGGCTAAAGGATGGGTGAGTTATGACAAGAAACTAAGGGCGAATTTTGAATCCCAGGCAGTATTCCCTCTAAGGTTTTCCAACCATGAGCAAAGTGAATTTTGGCTTGTGCACTAATTTTGAGGTCATGTGCACTGGTTTTGGATGTATGTCACCGTGGCATGCAATTTATTAACACACCCATGTTCCCGGCCGCTGGAGCTAACCTTTACCCTCACCCTTGACATGCAGCATGTCTTGTTCCCAGCTGCTGGAGCAAACCCCACCCCTGCTCCCCCCCACGCAGGCCACAAGGCATGTGCCGTTCTTGGCTTCTTGAATAGATCCTGCCCCCCTACCATGCGGCAAGTCCTGTTTCCAGCCCCAGCCACCAGAACAAGCCCCGGCTCGCCCGCCACATGGCAGCTAGTATTGCCAGGTGTCCAGTATCCTACCAGACAGTCCGGTATTTGAGCCCTCTGCCCGGTAAAAAAAATCAGACAATACTGGACACATGCAGTGTCCGGTTTCCTCTGATTTTTCTGGCTGGGCACCGGATGGAAGCCTGACGTGGGCGGCCCTGCCCCCCCCAGGCTTCTGCGCAATCACAGGCTCCCAGCGCCAATCGTGGCCCCGCCTCCCAGCCTGGGAGTCCCAGCTGGGAGGCGGGGTTGCGATCGCTGCTTATCCCGTGTTCTTTTTTTGGGAGACCATCTGGCTTGAAGCATTTTACCGGAGATAAAAACAAGTGTTTAGTGTAAGAATTTGCATGTAATAAGTTTCTTAGTGTATTAGAATGAGTTGATGTCTTGTGTTTATTTTAACTTAATGACTTATTTTGATCTGCTTTCACTTGCAATCATTAATTCCCACTTTTTATACTTCATAAAAACAGTTTTGTTTATTATAAAGCCCAGTGTAAATAATAGCTACCGGGGGAAGGGAAGCAACCACTGTGCATATCTTTCTTTCATTGATAAAGGGGGCAAATATCTTTAAGAGATTTCTCTATGTAAAACTTTTACACAGGGTAAGACAGATTTATCTGGGCATTGTCCTTTTGGGGAGATGGATTCCTGGGGTGCTGTCAGCAGCCTGATAGCTGAGCCCTCCCAGAGCTGGGCTGGTTCATTGTCTGCATTGCTCTGCAAGGGGGTGGTAACCTCAACTCTGTGTCTTGGCTGCGGGAGACCAGAGCTTCTGGCCCAGCGGGCAGTAAGGTGGGCATCAGTGGCTTGATAAGCACCCCAGATGACAATCCCAAGAGGAATTCAGTGATCTAGCCCATCACTATTATTACTTACATTAACAACAGCATATGGGTTCATTTGGGCAAGGGTCCAACAAGGCTCGATGCGAACATTTGCTGCTAACTATGAGGCATGTCAAATAAGCTGTGCCATTAGTTCTTTAAAAGAAATAGTCAGTTAACAACTTTGTCAATGTATCTCAACCTACAGCAAATGGACAAGGCACTCAAAGAACAGT